GAAAGAGTTCGATGCCTAACGGCTGTGCACCTGCATACTCGTTATCGTCTCCACCCGACTGAGGTGGAAAGGGACATCGGGGATGATACGATTCCTACAACAGTTGCGTTTACTGTTCCCGACATTCTAACGTTTGGATTAAAAAATAATGTATTATGCTATTCTCAAAATACTTTCATCACTGCTCCTATTATTACCCTTACCGAGCGACATTTTTCTTGGCAACGTACGCGAATCAGGTTTAACCCTGGTTAGCGGTTTTCCGCACGCGTGTGCACATTCGTGATATGGTTTGTGTGTGTGTGTGTGCTAGCAATTTAAATGGAGCGAACAAACAAATAGAGCTGCATTCCGTAAGCCGGCTAGTGCGCTTTGATGCATTGGTAAACACATGCACACAGCTAGACATTTGCACTCTCTTTCTCCGTCACTCACTCATGCACACACGCAGAAAGGGTTACAAACATGCCATCTCGGGTAACCTACCTGGTCCCGAGGGATGGAATGTGCATTCACGGTGTTGTTTGCAAGTCAAACGGAGATAGAGAGAGAGAATGGTAAACTATTGCCTCGACTGATCACTCGGTCAATCCGCGAGCACTGATCGATAGGAATGGCGTTCCTGTCGCTGTCACTGTCACAATCCGAGTGTGGCATGCAGTTCAGCAGATCAAAATCAGAACACACAGGGTGCAACGCTTAGTTCAAGGATGCTCGAAAGTGGGATTGACCGAGCGCGAGAACTGTATCGTTAAAAAAACCTGAAGCAGTTTGCTGCTCTCGTCTCAGTCGGGTTGAGAAGCCCGGTTTGGATTTGACAAGCACACATGCAGTCAGGTCAAGTGGAAAAACGGATATGGTGTTTCACAACCGATCACAAACAAATGGTCTGGCAGTAAGTTTGTGCCACTATTAGGTCAACCAATTATAAAACACCGAATCTGTGATGTCAAACATGTCTCACACGTCAAACGTCTATCTAAGATACATTTAGACCAGTTGCTGTTGTTTTCACAAGGCAACTTAAGACAGCCTGCGATTTAGATTCTGTTGTACACACAACTGTAGATGTTCGATAGTTTTACTTGCGCCGATGGTCCAAATCGCACGAAAAACTTTGAGAATCGATTGTTTGAAACTTTTATCTAAAAGACTGATTATTAGAGGTCAAACACGGTCCGGTGGAAAATTACCCGTCAGATCCTCTTCGTCATTTACTGCCTCCAGGTAATGGAACATTTCAATAGCACATCTTGGAAGAGACCTAGCCTATATATCTGGGACACATTTTCGCTAGATACGAGAGAGTTGCAATGTTTTAACCAATGCTCTGCCGTTCGGTTACTTACTAAGTGCCCCCCCCCCACCAGCGTCGATCATCATTGTGATGCCAATAGTACAGCATTTGTCCCCGAGCTCGGACTTATCTCCAAAGGGGTTTCTCCTAACCCTTTATGTTTTAATACTTCTAAAACTTCTCCCTCTCCATTCTCTTTTCCTTATCCACAAGTTCCCTCCCATGTCAAAATGTGCATATTCTGGAATTCCCTCTATTTCTTTGTTAGGCTCGTTCGTGTCTACTTTTTTGTTGATTTCCGTTTATATTAACTCCTGCCTGTGTTTTACACTAAGCTAGCTTCTGATACCGAGCCAGTTTCTTTGCATCCGTATAGAATCTTTTATGCAAAGCTCAATTCCCGTAGATATTTAAACAAACTACAGCCCCGTTATGGGTTTGAACTTCATATCTGCTTCCTCGCTTCTCTATCGGATTCGCTGTAGTAGTCGGGCTGATCAGCAAATCTCCGATCTCCAAACACGGCGTCTGTAAGAGCCATTAAGAAGGGACAAGAAGAACCATTGTGGCACACTCACAATGGTACGCTAGTAACGACGGTTGGATTTGTAAATGGGGTCTATTGGGCAGTTCTTAGTCTGCGTGTACGTGGCTCCGAAGCATCCAACTTTGACAAACCGATTATTGCATCAACTTTGCATTCGGTGTCAGATCAAGAACACAGAACAAATTAAAGAAATTATCGGAGTTTTGTCTTTTTTATTCTTGTTTTGTGGTGTTGTTGTTGAGTTGTTTCATAGAAAAAGAACAGAGAGCAACAAGCGATCGGTCGGGTGAGTCATTGACTGAGTGAGGGTTTTTGGTGGTGGGGGCCGGAGTGAAGATGGAAATAGGAAATGGGAGTACGCGCGAAAATGGAAACAGGTCTGACGAGGATATTTGGTTGAAATGAGCTGGGTTGTGGAAGTTGAGTTGCTGCGGCATAAAGGTACTCGTGAGTGGGTGACTTTGGGCAACACTTGGAAAGAATTTAGTTGAGGATACGGCTGACGAAATAAACTATACAATGATCGAAGGGTAGTGTCAACTGCGCGACAGTATTCATATTACTGATGGTAGACAGCAATGGTAACAACTGGTGGGGATAAGGTTGTGTCCTATATGCCGCTTTCGTGTAATGGTGGCGCAGCAACAACGTGTAGGGTATGGGAGGNCAAGTGACCTTGATACAAAGTCGAAGGGGACAAAGGAACGGAGTTTTGTGGTGTTGGTGGTGAGTGAGGCTCATTGGCAGTAGGGATTAATTTGGCAAGTGCATATAAAGTTCGGTTAGTGCATGGATTTGTAAACATACCTACGCACGCACATGTGTACCTACGCATGGACATGAACAAAGTGACGCAGGTGAGCACCTCACTGAGTGAACCATAGTAACAAAGATCCAGTTCGATTCCTATCGCTCTTCCAGCCCTACCGAGTACAAAATACTATACGTGTGTGGAAAAGGAGCCGTTGATTGTGGTGAAGATGATGTAGATGATAATAACACTGAACGATTGCAGCCATGTGGTTCCGGTACAGAGGCCAGCCAAGATTGAGAAAGACAAACGGGCAACAAACTCACATCCTAGTTGAGTGATAACAGGTAGTCGGATTCAGTTGTGTTTGTTCCGGCCGCATCGTATTTTCCACCTAGTTACACTCGTTTCCTGTGTAAATTTTCCTTTCACCTACGTCACAATTGGGGTCTGTGTGTGTTGAGGGTAGCTGCTGACTTCGAGGAGTGCTGTTCGCGTTCATCTTGTGTGCATAAGAACCAGTGTGTGTGGCCAGCGGAAGAGCAGCAGAGATCAGTGGATGAAGGAACAGTGTGATGTACGTGATTGCAACTAGTGCAACAGCAGGAGGAGGTGAAAAAGAGCATCGTTATGATGATACAGAAAAGAATTAACCAGATACAAAGCCCAGCAACTACGAGGACGATACGAGGGTGAAGGGCGCAGATGGAACGGTGCAGTTTGGAGCAAACTGTTACGATGTGCTCATCCCGGATTGGTGGGGCTTACAAAACAGATATGGGAGTGAAATCAGAAAAAAAAACATGGAACATTAACAAGTGGAATCAGAAAAAAAACGCACCTGAGTACGGTAAAATCCCGCTACAGAAAAGGAGCAAGTGGGATGTGAATATCCAAGCGCGAAGGTGAACGGGGATGCGAAAGAATCGTGGCTTGAACCACCACTGTTTCGTTCCAAGCCAGATGATGAAATTTGCAATGTGATAGGAAACATGGACGGAGGAAAAGGTGAGTGCCGGGAACTACCGACGGGGACTACAGTGAGCAGATTAGAAAGCTCAAAGGTAACGTCCAAAGTAGAGTTTGATAACAGACAAAGACAAGAACACTGGTGTAAAACAGGCAAACTTCCTAGGTGCCGACCGAAATCATCGTGGTTGAGACAGGGTATTATGATCAGAATGGAAGGGACAGGTCGACAGCTTATGAAAGAGAAGGATTGATGAATTACCACAGACAAATACCCCGAATCGATTCCCTAGTCGAGTTCAAGAGTTGGACGAACCAAAAATAACTGATAATATGGTAAAGAACGGCACCAGTAGCATCGGCATGGGGGTGACCGAAGGTACAAGCGTTCGAGATACGAAAGGCAAAGGTTGAAGTCAGCAAAAGCCAACCTAAGGACGGGGACAAGGAACGGCTGGNGAATGGGGCAGGGACGGATCAGTGTGAACCAGAAAAACTAAGTGCCACTCAATGAGGGCTATCGCACCCCCACCCCCACTCCTCCAAAAAAAGAACATTAGGGATGACTAAACAAAACAAAAGTAAAGGATTGAGATAGACAAGTTGATAGATAGGTAGGCAGAGAGAGAACGAGAGAAGAAACAATGAAAACAAACAAAAAACAGTGAAAACATAAGGAAACACACCTAAGTGGGGCTGGGGAACCATAGGGAATAGGGGATAAAAAAAGCATGCCCAGAGAGAACATTCACATAGATTGCGACCCTTGCGCGCGTGCGTTTGTACTGACATAGATTGAAGGAAACATAGAAAAACAGAAAGAGACAGGGTAATTGAGAGATAGAAAGAAAGAGCGATATCATACGAATCAAGAGGTGGTTTGACGCGACCCGATCGAACAGTACATAGTGGGCGGGGTAAACAGGTGAGCAGATCAAGAAAGTCGGTGCATACGACCTTGTGTGTAGATATATACATATGAAATGACTAAGCACCAAATTGCTTTGTTGCTACACCTTTGTAGAAAATGTATACCGACAGGAGCTTTCAGAGATCAGATCGTTCACAGCATCAAACGATCCGGATTGCATGATTTCCTAAACGAGGCTTGGAATAGTTCTCTACTCTCAGTCACTCGTTGTTCGACGAAGCACAGAGTCAGATAGTCGGTGAGCGTAAAGGGTCAAAGGGATTGATCGGATAGAGTATGCGGTCCAAACCACGACTTCCACGACCGGGTATACGTACATACATAAATACATGCACACGAGGTTTATACAGATTCACTGGCACTCGCACGCGACCACACGCTTACGTGTGTCTGTGTGCATACCCGTGCAGAAAAACAGGCTTATGCACTGCCGATCTGAGATCCAAGGCGAAGTTCGATCGAAGAAGTGGCCGAACATATATACGGCCCATTTGATGCGGTGCTTTCAATGCCATCTGTGACTGGCCGGAACTTCTTTGGCTTGGGCAACAGAAGAACTGAGACGAGAGATAGGGTGTGGCAAACAGGTGATGTAAGTGAACCGTTATATGAACGCGGAGGATACAGATTAAGGCTGCAGTCAATTGATAGAATTATGATACTGCTGTCTCTCACACACACACCTCGTGTCCAGAGATTCGTGATAAGAATGTTAGCTTCACATAGGACTACTATCCAAAAGGAATGGTTGTAATACATTACTGATGTGAGAAAAGAGACGTCAAGCCTGTTAAATTCAGACACCTCAAATCAAAGCAATATTACCGTGTAGAGTATTCCATGAAGAAGTTTGAACGAATACGTCAGGGAATAGCTTAGCCGAAATCTAACATCACGAAGTTTCAGTGAGGTGGTGCTTGTCATGGGAGGATAGTTTATCCACTGGTATGCCCCCAGACTCTGAAATTTGATGTTCGAACCTTGTCCCGACGATCACCATCGTCCAGGATAGACAGCTTCACTATTCAGCATCTCTATCATGGTGATTGGGAACTTGTGTCACTGATCGATTTAACGTCTAGGGCGAAAGCTGCCGGTTTTCGTCATTCACAAATGGTTATCACGATTTCCGGTTTTCCCCTTCCCATTGTTGACTGTCAGATTTTTGTTGGACAAATACTGAGATTATTCCTAGAGGAGGGAAGGTTTCAGCCAACCAAAATTTGATGCGAGTGAAAAAGATGATGCAAACATACACTTTTGAATACCACGTCACTGAAAGTACCAGTGTACCAACATGTAAGATGCGAGATTGCACTTCAGTACAAAAACATTATTACTACTCATCAATAATGTGTGAAAAGTAACCATAGATGTTCGAAGCTCTAAGTTCCTTTCCAGGCCCACTATCAACTACCCACTACTCGTCGTCGTGATAAACATATAAACACATATTCGTTGCCGAAGAGAATGGACATGCGATGACAGACTTGAACACTCTTATTGTGCGGAGTCACGGAACGCGCGTGAGCACACATATACACACAATTACGCGAACCACATTCATCAGGGCCTCGACACATACACTCACATACACACACACACACACACACACACCAATGTGACTAGGGGCAAGAAAACGGGATGGAGCGAGTTTGCGTTCACAAAGTTTCCATCGACCGAATAGCAGTTTTATCATCGGTGTCACATTATCCCATTCCCCTCGGAAAGAAAGCAAGTTGTACATTGTCTCAAAAACTATCTTTCAAACTTCCAGTCTGGTAAAAAGTTGCTCAAACCAACAAGTCCAATGGGATTCGAATAGGTCCCTTGGAAGGGAAGAGGTTTGATGAAGAGTGATGTCAAAATATCTGCATATGTACATGCCACAAGAGAGCAATGAGCAATCCAACCGGGTTGACCTAGCGACTATACTCCAAGGAAGGAAAACGAACTGCTACTGCAGTGGCAGCATTAGTACAAATAACAAAAAAAAAACACGTCCACTTACTTGATGAAATTCGCATAATTCACAGCATTGCGATTGAGCAGTACTCGGGCATTGCGATTGTCTTGGCGGAAATAATCGTAAATACATTGCCACAATGCACCTGAAAAAAAACGACACGGAGGGAGGAGAGAGAGTGATTAGGAATAAGA